GATCCACCTGCCTCAGCTCCCAAAGTGCTGGGAAAATGCTGGGATTACAGGCATGAGCCACCACGCCCAGCCACTGCTGTAGTTTTAAATCATGTATTTTATAAGGAGCACATAATCTTCTGTTCACTTGAGTGGACCCCTTCCAAGGCCCTGAACTTAATTATTTGTAATTTTAAATCCTTTTTCTTAAAGAAGAATCTCTAAACTGTAACAATATCAGGTTCCAGAAAACCTGGATACACCCTCAGCTCAGATCTTTCCCGGTTAAATCAGTATCTTTTCTTCTCCCACTCTTTACTGCAAGTAACTTCAGAAATTGTTTTTCGCTCTCTTTAGCCCAATTTTTTTCTTCACTACATTTAGTGGTATCCGAATTAAAATGTATTCATTTTCTGTCCCTCCTCACTAGAATGTAAGCTCATTGATGGCAGGTACTTCATTTGTTTCATTCACTCCTGTGTCCCCAGAACCCAGAATAATGATTGACAAAGAACAGGTGCCAATCAATACATTTTTACTGACTGACCTCAGATCCACCAAACTGCTACATTTCAGCCATGTTTGTGGCACAGCTATGTTTGTCTAGTGGGAGTCCCAGGCTTACGTACCAGCCTCCAAGAAGCAGCCATTCATTTTGAGATCCTGTCACATTCTGGCTACTTCCAGAGATCTGTGAGCAAATCCTTGCTGTTCAAGAGACCAACAGACTTCTCTCTCATTCTTTTCAGCCTTGGTGTCACTTATTATTCTCAGTGAAATCCTTCTTTCCCATGGAAACACCCAAGGATGGCTTGGGTCAACCCCTCTGCTTGGTTCCACCCTAAGTAAAAATAACATTCCATGGAATTATGGTCAAAATTTTTGTAAAGTGAAAATAAAGGCAAATTTAGAAAACTGCTATTTTTATTGATTTATAGTGCTCTGCAAATAGAACTTCATTAAGTTTCTAGCACCCTCATATACTAATTCCAATCAGATCACTAGCCCTAAACTCTTATTAAATAGAAATTGGTAGGTGGACATTTCAAGTTAGGAGGGAAAATGTTTTGAAAGCAACTTCTGCTTTCTTCCTTGCCACAAACCTGCCCTGAGGCAAGGAAGCAGAGTTGCTATCAGTTTAAATAAGGGAAGGAAAAGGCAAATACAAGAACACAAACAAAATCTCAATTTTTTTCTCTCTCACATACATTATTCATTTAATCTTTAAGACAACCACATGAAGCTGATATTCCCACCTGCCAAAATTGAGCACGGTCAGCATGTTTTGGTTCTCATGAATACCTTACTTTGTTTTTGCACTCTGGTCTGTGAAGGAATTTTAAAGCTTTTCCTGGGATTTGATTTGAAGGACAATTGAATGGATCCCTCAACTAAATACTAGTGATCCAAGACAGAACTCATGCACTTAAACTCGCCTTCCAGATATTGAAGAAAACTTCATCTTGTAATTTATTCTTGTAATTTCAGTGCCATGGAGAATGACTCTTATTTTTGAAATTCCTTCAGTACAGATATTTCATACAAATTGGCCTTCCTGCCAATTCCTTGCCTTGACACCTTGAGTTGGGTGTGCCACTAAGGCCTATCCTGTAACCTTCACTTAATTAATCATAATTATTATTACACATACTAATTAAAGTCAGCCAGCTTCCTAAAGTGTAGGACATGTAGACTGGTGGTACATGAGGTAATGTTATAATAGGTAGACGTAACATTAGAACAACAGTGAAGCACTTAGCAAAATATTCTTTTTTCACTATCTTTTAATCTTTCTGCTTATGCTAAATTGAAAAATCTTAGGTTGATGTTCATATGTCCAACCCTTACCAATATCCCTTTTTTAACAAACTGAGAGCATGGCTTGGGCTCAGGCCCTTGACAGACAACCTAACTAATGTTTTGTTTTCATTGTATTTGCTTTAACAGTCTTGTCAAGTGAAAATGTTTTTCACTTACCAAAGCAACATAATGTTGCTTTAAAATAAATTTGTCTTAAAAAGGTTAAAGAAAACATTAAGGAAATACCAGTATTTGTGGTTCTTGAATTTGGCAACAAAATTGATAAAGTTTGGGAAATATTAAATTAATTCCTATGAAAGGGACATGTGACACTCTGACACGTGATACAGGTTGGGAGTCATGTGCAATGAAGATGAGTTATTTCTTTAGCAGCATAACTGCACTTTAGATTGTTGCCAGACACTCATCTGACTCCCAGTTTTGGGAGACCAAAGAAGTTTCATGAGCATATCAGCTATTACTTGTACTGTGATAGGCTTAGTTTCTTGAAATGAAGTCGGATGTGGCAGAAAATTTACCCTGAAGTAAATCAGAAACTCACCTTGTAATCCAGAGGCAAGGCAAAGGATTAGATGCTATGATCTAGAAATCAGGATTGATCTAGCAATGGAGTCTGAAGCAAGTTAGGGTGGTTCCGTGTTGGTTCTGGTCAACTCCCTCTGTAGGACTAAATAAATTATGATGTGAACAGATTGTAAACTTTTCTCCAAAATTTTTTTTTTTTTTTCTACTTTTGAGACAGAGTCTTGCTCTGTCACCCAGGCTGGAATGCAGTGGTGTGATCTTGGTTCACTGCAACCTCTGCCTTCTGGTTCAAGTAATTCTCCTGTATTCTCGGGTTCAGCCTCCCGAGTAGCTGGGATTACAGGTGCATGCCACCACACTCAGCTAATATTTTTATTTTTAGTAGAGACAGGGGTTTTGCCATGTTGGCCAGGCTGGTCTCAAACTAGTGACCTCAGGTGATCCGCCCACCTCAGCTTCCCAAAGTGCTGGGATTACAGGCATGAGTCACCCTGCCCAGCCTTTTCTTCAGGTTCTTAAATAAAACATTGGAAAGAAATTATTATGCAATGGAAGAGAGTTTGGCCCAGGTGTAGAATACAGAAGATTTAGAAACAAGGTCTTTGTTGACCGTTCTATTCTCAAGTGTATAAATGTAAATTAGTATCTCAGATTTAAATTAGGGATAATTTGTGTCTTTTTTTTTTTTTTTTTTTGTAAAGATAGGTTCTAGCTCTGTCGCTCAGGCTGTAGTGCAGATAGCTCACTGCAGCCTCGAACTCCTGGACAGAGTTCTCCTCAGCCTCCCAAAGTGGTAGGATTACAGGTGTGAGTCACTGCGCCGGGACTGTGTGTGTCAATAAAAAATTTTGCTTGTTCTGGAATTAACCCAAGGTCTTCAGTACCATTAATTCACTAACAACAATTAAAAAAAAACCCTCCCTAAAGACAAAGTAGGTGGCAGTTGAAGAGCACTTTCAATATTAACATAGAGTATCTTGAACCTTAGAGCCACGAAAGAAGAAAAACTAAATTCAGTGAAATTTGCACATGATAACAGTCTTGGTTGGTTGGTTGGTTTTTCCCTGAGAGCTTCTGGGAACTGAATGAACTTAATTATGTTTTATAAATAAACTATTATTAATTTTGCATCCTGAAATAAGTGCTTGAATCAGGAATAGCATACTTCCCACTAAACTCCTTTTGCCTGAATGAAAACTTGAGATACCCATCTGTATTTCAAGGGCACTTTTAAGAGCTAACAAATATGCCATAACATTCTTGGAAAACAGTATATGCTGTCAGTTTGCCTAGGTAGAGAGAGGAGCTGATAAGGAAATCCTCAAGTTCCTTTCTTTTATTCTGAGCTGTATTCTGTGGATAGGGATTTTGCATTTCAGTGCTAACAATGTTTTTCAGCACCTAACACCATGAATATTCAAAGGTCTGATGTTATCATTAATGTATGTTATGAACATACAATGGTACATCTTATGAATATTACATTCATTTTCTATTTCTACAATGTTTTCAGGGGAAATATTTTTACCCTAACCTGGATTCTATTACTATCCTATTAATTGTGGTTCAGAAAATTGTCTCACAGGCAGAGTAGTTTCTTAATTATATCTTACTCAATAATTTTCTCAATATGATAGGCTGTGTAGTCCACTGGAAAAGGCATTATGCTGACAGTAAGAAAAGCTTATTTGTTCACTGCTCTATCTCCAGCACCCAGAACAATGCCTTACCCAGAACAGGTGCATAGTATTTGCTGAGTGAATTCTAATCCTACTTCTGGGTAAAATTAAGTAAATTATCTAGTTCTTGAGGGACTCAATCTAGACGACCCCTAATCTTCCATGGTAAGGTTTTGTGGTTTTTATTTTGGCTTTTCTAAATGCTCTAAAAATAGTAGTGGATAATAACGATGTAGTGTTCAGTAAAATCAATTGGTGGAGATTGTAGATAGATGGCTCATAAGACATCAGTATTACAAATCCTATGTGTGTGCGCGTGTGGTCATACAAGGCAAAGTTAAAGTCTTTTTTTATGAAGATGATAAATTCCAGTCTTGTTTGGGCAAGTGAACTCAAGAGGTGGTTCAAATAAATGTCATATTTTTCATTGTATATTCAGTGCCTAGTACAGTTACTGGCTCATAGTAGGTATTCAAAAAATAGTGGTTGAATTAATAGCCTTCATTAACATTCCGTTTAAATACTAGACGCAGCTAGGTCTCTAACCCTCCTTAGAAAGAGATGGAGCTGTAACCAGAAATCCCTTAAAAGGTAAGGACCAGTAATCAGGCTGAGCTAAGCTCATGGGTCCTACGAGACAGGCTTAAAGCACTGAAGGAAGAGAACTCAAGCGTGAGAGAAAGCAAAACAAAAGTAAAGAGAAGAGGAAAAACATTTCTAAAGTGGGGGTTGGCAGGAAGCCACCGCAATTACCGCAGGTCAACCCTGGCCAATAGGTGGTCACCTCAAGAACTTACCATTAAAACCCTCGGCTACACAGACCTCACTTTTAAAAGGTTATTAATTCTGACATGCCCAAGTTCATCTGAGTTCCTTAGAGCAACCACCAGCACCTACTTCACGACCTATCCTCCATTCCATTCAAATAACGCAGCCAATAGGAAAATCCTCCGCCTTGAGCCAACGACTCAGCGTAGCTGAAACAGGCCGGGAGGCAGATCTGCCCTGTAGACCCTTGCAGTTCCACTGCTGGCCTCCGGATTACCGGGAGCCCTCAGCTCGGCAGGACAACCTTCCTTCCCCGCTTCCTCCTTTCCAGGTCTGTCCCAGCCCCCGCTGCCTGGGCCACACCCGCTTCCCTCCGGTGGCCCAGCCACCCCCGCCGCAGTTCGCGGGAGCGCCTTTCCTGGGGCGGGCGCAGGCCCAGGGCGCATGCGTACTGGTCGAAGGGCACCTCCCAGTCCGGATCTCGCGAAGTTACGTTAGATTGGCCGCCGGTGACGGGTGGCCGTGCTGGGGGCGGGAGGGCTTCTGTGGTAGGAAGGGAGGTCCGCTCGGCCGGGCGCGCCGCCCCAGTGCTCTGTGGGATACTGGAAGTCTCGAGCGTCTCCTCCCGGTTCCCAGCCCTCCTCTGGCCCTCACTCATAGAAACATTCACACACCCCCTGCCTCCCCTCTCTTCCCTCTCCGCCTCCCCCTTCCACCCCTCGCGATAAGAAGACCCGGCGGCAGGAGAGGGGATGAAGATGGCGGACGCGAAGCAGAAGCGGAACGAGCAGCTGAAGCGCTGGATCGGCTCCGAGACGGACCTCGAGCCTCCGGTGGTGAAGCGCCAGAAGACCAAGGTGAAGTTCGACGATGGCGCCGTCTTCCTGGCTGCTTGCTCCAGCGGGGACACGGACGAGGTCCTCAAGCTGCTGCACCGCGGCGCCGACATCAATTACGCCAATGTGGACGGACTCACTGCCCTGCATCAGGTCTGTGCGCCCAGTCGCCGGCTCTCCTGACCCTGAGGGTCCTCGTCGGCCTCCCGCCGGGGCCTGCCCTCAGTTCTCCACCTCTTGAGGCTGGGGGCGGCGGGAGACTCCCTGCTGCGGGGTGAGGGGGCGGTTTCCCCGAGAGGGCGGGAGGGAGAGCTGGTGGAGGGGAGGGCGCTGGGCTTGAGGCCCCCTTCATAACAGTTGCTGGTGGAGTTGGGAACCGGGTGATTTCCGGGGCACAGGGGAAAAGGAACTGTGGTCGTCTTGGGGCCCCAGGGCCATTGGTGCGATGAGTCTGGGATTTGGGGTCGAGACAAGGAGGGGTGTAGTGGGGTTGTGCCTGGGCCCCCGTGTCAGTGATAAATTCGGAGGGGTGGATGCTGAAGGAAGAAAACTAACAAGAGGCATTAGGGACGCTTAGGCAGATGAACATCTTTGACTTGTAGGTAGGCATTGGATTTGTTGCACTTTTGAGGACTTGATTACAAATGATGATGATAATAGTAATCTAGAGCCTTAAGCCGAGTGCCCTGAGCGAACGATTTCCTGTTTTCTCATTTATTACTCTTGGTCACTGGGGAGGGGAAAACAGGGTGTAATTAGCTGATCTGCACCGGCTGAAAGGAAGGGGATGGAAATGGGTAGAGTAAGGAAGCCCTCTAAAGGGTTTGCCCACCTCCGGACCGGAACGTGTTGAGTCTGATACTCGAAGTTTGCCGCAATGTCAGAGATCCTTGAGCCCCAGGTCCTGGGGTGTGCACTGGTGTTAGAAAGAGAAGAATAAATAGGGGACACTCTTTTCAAAGCCGGTTACCAAGCTCTGATTTTTCTTTTGGGGGTGGGAAGAAAAAAAGACTGGTCACAAACTTTTCTCAAAATGGATGCTTTGTGCATGTTAAAGTTTTATAGTAGTCTGATTGGGATCTCTCAATGTTAGCCAAATAAGGAGAAACTATTGGCAATCCAGAGATAATGTTGCCTTGCCTTTAACAGGCCAAAAGCAACACAACCATGTAGAGTTCTGCATAAAAAGCAATTTTTAAGTGATGGTAATAGGTGACAAGACATAGGCTTTTTCGATTTTCTTGGCGGGCAACTTGGAATAACTATAATAGAAAATGACTTTGCAGCAATAGCTTTCCCTTACAATGAAAAGACTTGTAAGCTATCTCAAAGTTGCCTTGGTTGTATGTGGAAGATGCATAGCCTTATTTCGAGTAATGCTGTAGTAAAAACTTGTTTGGGTGGTTGAAAACTCAAGGCTTTATTGTATTTCATGAATATTAACTTGATGCCTTTTTAAAAGAGGTGTGTAGTGACATTTTTCCTTGTATTGCTTACTGTTTAAGGGAGTGATGACCATTTTAAATTTTATGTAATGGAATTCTCGTATCAGACTTGGAGTATAGCCTTTGTTTACAAAGTTGACTGGATACATTGAAATTATTGACAAATTGCAGGACAAATGTGGAATTAAAAATATGGCACCCAGTAAAAATATAACAGGGTATCTAGCGTTTTCTCTATTTCATTAATTTAGATTCTCTAATGCATAGCAAACTTTTTATTTGGGTGAAGTTTATTTAAGGCATATCATAACTCTTAAGATTTTAAAACCATGGTGTTGAGAATGAAAGAAACTTTTGGCATTAAAAATGATAATGTAATTATGTAAGATGAATCTTCAAATTTCTTTCAAGTGTACTTTACACGTTTTAGTGTTTTAGTGTGAAATAGATTTTGATTATTACTGTAGGAGGTCAGGATAATTGGATAATTGTTCGCATCAATATGTTTTATTCAAATCGTCAAATAGAAATTTAAAGTTACTGTTGTTGTGGAGGAACCCAATTGTATTGGCCTGGAGGAAGACGAAAATTTTTGATATTTACATTGTTGTAATACTGGTTTAGGGAGAAAGAGAAAATACATTTAACTGTCTTCTTAAGATCTTTTTTTCTCCTCTCAATATTCACATGTTGCAAGAATTGTCAGACTTACCAATGTCTTCCTGATTAACTGAATTCAGTGGTCAGTTTGGTGTTGTGTAGCTGTATCTTTATTGGGTATTTTGTTTTAGTTGACAAACACTTAAACAGAGGTTTCTAAATTTACACCATTTGCATAATACCTTTCTGTCACTTTTTGTCACTATGAGTGTTTGACCCGATAATTTCCAACCGCCTCCCCTTTTCCATAACATTTTTCCTTATCTGCAAATTCCTTAAATCAATGAAGCCAAAATCTTTAAAATATCAAGCATTAAAATTTTTGTTATGTTTTCTTCACTCTCATTTCTTATTTATCAACTCTTGTACTTTTTTCCCATTGTTACTATGAAAACAGGGAGTTCACTTTGGGCAAATTTAGGACAACAGCTAGTGAAAGACAGTAAATAAACACACACACAAGAAAATTTTAAACTTTTAAGAAAAATCTCTAAACTTAGCTTGTTTTCCATACTTAATTCGAAATACTAAAATCACTGATTTAATAGTCCTTGAATAGTTTTTTAAAAATTTAACCTCAAAAGATCATAGAATACCTAAAATGTTTTACTGGGTTAATTATTGTTTATTCTTTTTTGAATATTTATTTACTTTTTGGTTTTGATCAAGTGTTCTAAATTTCATTGTCTAGAGAAAAGTTTTAGGAACGTCACAACCCACAAATATACTTTTACAAAATATAAAATCTAGTATTTTGCTTTTATTTTAAATATAAACAGCTTATATTGAAAGGTTTATTAATTTGTTGAATGTGCTCCCTCATTAGAAGTTATAAAAGATATCCAGTCTTCAGCTGTTCTTTTTGTATAGAAATATGTTCTCTATATAGAAGAAAAAGCAGTGTTTCTTGTCAAATTTCCTATCTTAGTCTCCAGAATAGCCTTTCTTCCCCACCCACTGCACCCGGGACCTGACCCCCAAAGCTACAAAACAGCACAGAGTTAACCATAGATATAAATTTCCGGTTTTCTAGTACCGAGGTCTAGAGTAGAATTTCATTATTACCAATGGGGCAATAATCAGCTTCTGATTTTATAGCTACCTGGTAGAGTTTTACAGTATGTGATTATATCTCTATTTTGGCATACTTTATGAAGATTTAAGGAGATTAATAAGGTTATATATAGAATGCCTTATTGCTAATTCTTACTGATACTGGTGTGCATAAAATACAGGGCTGAGATTTTTCTCTAGCAGTTTTGAGTTTAGCCTGTTGATTTTAACCTTAAAATCTTTTCTTTTTCCTCTGCGCCAGTGACTTCCAAGTCAGTTTACAGTTCCGTCATTTCTGCAAAGCTCCAAGCCTCATTTCCATTTTTTTGGGTTATGTATTGATTTAAAATGAAATATTATTAAATGTGTTGCAATTTTATATTTAATAATGTCTTTTAAGTAGTAATATAGTAAATACAAGTTCACCCCCTTTGCCATAGAATGGCAACTACTGTATTCACGTTAACCTTTGTGATTTCTTCAAAGGATTTCTTGCTGTTCAAACATAGATTTTCATAGTTGCAATTCAGTATTATAATTTTACGTTTATCCCTTAACATTAGAGGTACTTCTTTAGACTTTACCAGCATCCTTTTTAACTAATTATTTTAAAGTACTATTAATTTGGTTATAAGACTGTTCTACATCACTGTCAGGAATTTCTTTAAATTCAGCCTACAACAGGTCTATCTTTCCTCATCAAGCCTACTCTTCTCATTGATGTCCCTGTTTTTGTCAGTGATCTTTAGATCAAGTTAAACATTTTAGTTATTGTTTACTCATTCCCCTTGTCTATGTATAATCCAGTCTATCTTCTAGCTCAGTCTTTTCTTTACAATTACCTTGGCATCAGTTCTTTTCCTTGCCATTCTTTACTGGCAACCTAGTTCATACCTTTATTATTTTATTTTATTTTTTTTGAGACAGAGTTTCACTCTTGTTGCCCAGACTGGAGTGCAGTGATGCTATCTTGGCTCACCGAAACCTCTACCTCCTGGATTCAAGCGATTGTCCTGCCTCAGCTTCCCAAGTAGCTGGGATTACAGGCGTGTGCCACCACGCTCAGCTAATTTTGTATTTTTAGTAGAGATGCGGTTTCTCCATGTTGGTCAGACTGGTCTTGAACTCCTGACCTCAGGTGATCCACCCACCTCCGCCTCCCAAACTGCTGGGATTACAGGCGTGAGCCACCGCACCTGACCTAATTTTTATCCCTAGAGTATAGTAATAGCTTAATTGTTTTTCCTGCCTCTGTTCACTCCCTGATTTAATCTAGCATGCATATTGCTGTCATATTAATCTTTGAACAGTATCACTCTGATGATGTCACTCCTCTCTCTGAATTTGGATATAATACATTTTATCATTTAGCTTATGGTTGATATATCTCCATTGTGTTGTATCCTTTATAGAAATGGGTTAACTTGCTGACATTTTAACCAGATCTTTACATTTTTTATTTCCATGCCTTTAGCCATGCTTTTTATGCTCTCTCCCTCGTTTGCCAATTAAAATTCTAGTCATTGTTCAAGATTCTCATTCTCTTCTCTGGGGTGTTCACTGTACCTTATATTTTGCCTCTCCTGCAATAAAAACACTTTTTACTGAATAGTGTTTGTGTTTGTCGTCCCTTACAGCTTCTGAGGACCTAATCGTCCACATTTTTGTATTTCCAGAGCCTAGCACATAGTGGGTGCTCACTAAAGGTTTATTGAATTTTATCTTTTTACTTCAAACCATCAATAGTAAGTTTTAGAGTTATTTGTATGTTGTGAAATACATTTTTGAAACCTTCGCATCAGATACTTAGCATATTGTTCTTGCACATAATGGAATTTGTGTGTTTATGAAACAGATTAAAAACTTTGTTGTGGATTTCAATGTATTTACTTTGAAAAATTCTTTTTTTTTTTATGGAGTCTCATTCTGTCATCTAGGCTGAAGTGCAGTGATGTAGTCTTGGCTCACTGCAAACTTTGCCTCCCAGGTTCAAGCGATTCTCCTGCCACAGCCTCCTGAGTAGCTGGGATTACAGGTGCGTGGCACCACGCCTGACTAATTTTTTTTGTATTTTTAGTAGAGATGAGGTTTCACCATGTTGGCTGGGCTGGTTTTGAACTCCCAACCTTAAGTGATCTGCCCGCCTTGGCCTTCCAAAGTGGATTACAGGTGTGAGCCACCGTGGCCGGCCTAAAAAATTCTTAATACTGACCTCCCTTCTTTTAAATTCTAAAGCAGTCTAGATCTTGGTTAAGTGGTAGAAAAATATATCCAGTTGAGTCATTAATTAATTACTCACTTTCTAAGAATCTGAGCTA